GTTATTTGCTCAGTGTTAAATAGCTAATTAGAATTGGCTAAATGGAGTAGATTTTATTTGGATTATGTACAAGTGGTCATCTTTGAATTGGATTGTCCTTTCTTTATAGGACTAAAGTGTTTGCTGGTTGAAACATCCTCTCAGTGGTAGTAGAAGAGACCAAGTTTATCTTTAGTCCAGGATTTGAAAATAGCTGTTCTAGTTGAGTAGTTTCTCTGTTTTGAGAGGTGGGTTACTGTGGAGCAGTGTATGTGGTGACAGCCACAGCGGTTTATGCTGAGGAGAATGGCTTGCTCCCTGGCAGCCACCAGAGGGTGCTGTGCAGTTAGTTGTAGCTTTTCTGTGCAGGAAATTGCTGTCTCTTGGGTTTGGGATAAGCTAACACAGGGAAAGCACCAGAGAACTATTGCTTTAAAAGCCTGTGCATTTCCTAACATCAGTAGACTTACACGTCATTCCTCTGAAAATTGTTAAGCTGATGAGGATCGTTCCTACCTTGTGTGACAAATGAACATTGACACAAGTTCAGTTTCATTTGTCGTTTAAATCTCCTTTTAGCCTGGCACTTTGGGCTTGTTATTTCTTCCATTTGATACACATGTATTTTGAATGCTGATTTGGTTATTGTTTTATTGAATGGCTATGGCCTTTTTTAAAAAATAAAAAAATAAAAGCTTTTCTATATTTTGTTGTTCAGTACTCACATATTATGTAGTAGTTATGAATATTCAAATCTTGACCCCTGCAACTTCATCCGTTTTAAGTGTGGTGTGGAGGGGAGCGCATGGAGACCCTGGACCGCCGGAGGGAGGAACCAGCGGTCCCCAAGCAAATTAAGCCTGAGATGTTGCCGGAGCGAGTGACAAACCCGAGGCTGTCCTGCTTCGGGCAGCTCGAGAGACGGCGGGATTCTCTGACAAAGACAGTCGTGCTGGCGAGGACGGAAGGCAGCAGAAGAGGAAGACCAAACACGAGAGGGCCCGACTCCGTCAAAGAAGCCGGAGGCTGAGTCTCCAGGAGCTGAGCAGGGCTAGGACAGGACACTGTGGACGCCACTCATCCATAGGGTCGCCGGAAGTCGGGGCCGGCTTGGTGACATGCACTCACACCACTTCCTGGCTGTGGTCTTGGGCGGCTTGCTTTTGGGGATTGGTTTTTAAAAATCTGTGTAAGGAAGATAATGATTTGACTTTAGGAGGTTGTTTAATGTCTAACTGATGTGACTATTTGGCTTATAATAAGCATTAAATAAATGTTAACTGTTACTGGATGAATGTACTTGGATTTTTAACAAAATTTAATTGAGCTATGAAAATTTTGAATCAAATGTTATTCAGCATATTTTCACTTTTGAAACTTCTGTAGCTGTAACGTTAAAAATTTTCTTGTCTGCTTAAAATTAAGCAAAGGCCTTGCACGAAGAAAGGTTTCTCCTAGCCCATGCTATGATTTTACCATGCAGAAGTCTTCCTTGCTGAGGAGCTGTTGGAGAGTGATGCGTGTATATTTTAATTTTTGAAAATTAAACGATAATTGGTAGCTCTTTGGGAAAGCAAATGGTCGTCCCTTAAGATTTTAAATAGAATCATCCGTGTCCATTAGAGCAGGTGTAAGCCTATCTTGCCGGTTTCCGACATTGGCCCTCGGTCCTGGCGCGGGCACGGCCATCGCCCTGCGGGGAGGGACAGTCGGCCTTGGTCGGCCTGGGAATCCAGCCTCCCGATGCCGTCGTAGGCCCGGGCGCTCCTGACTGACGTGTGTGAGCTACCGTTTCATTGTAGGAAAAAGTTCTGTTTAACTCAAAGGGGCATCGTCACAGTCGAGTGAAAATAAAATAAAACCTTCCCTGCGCATCGCCGAACCGGTGAGTGGACACACGCCTGCCGAGCGGGGCATATGCCCTCCGGCGCCGAACTCGGCCGGCCGGGCGCCCAGTGGTGCGAGGGGGGACGCAGTGCCTAAGATGAGGGCCAGTTAAGTGACATGTTAGTTGGCGACGTCCGGTGGTTGAAGCGAGCATGCCGGTGTTTGCCGTCTGGCTTCTCGTACGCACTTGAGACACCTGGGCTCCTCGGAGCCTGGGCGCTGTTTCGGGGTCCCCTCCATTCAGCGAGAAGGCGGGTTACCTACGCTCTGTCCACAGCGTTCCGTGGAAGGGCGGCGCACCCCCATTTAACATCTGCGAAAAGCGCGTGCCCTGTGTCCCTCGCGCGTCCGGAGAGCGGGCGTCCCTTCATCGTGGGCGCTTGTCAGCTTTCCGTCACCTTCTGCTTTGCCCGTTATTCGCCCAGGCGTCTTTGCAGACGGACGCGGAACGTGAACGATTGCGGCGTGTTGAAAGCGCCCTGGTGCTGCCACGGACTCGTGGAAACGTGCGCGTGTAGGGGTGTGGGTTTGGGGGGATCCACGGCACCGCACTGATGCTCTGTGTTCCGCACCCGTTTGCAGTCAGCGGTGTATCTGCAGGGCTTTCCATGCCAGGACGATCTACTTTCTGAAAGCCCCCCGACCCTGGTCTGTTGACTGTCCCCTCCTGTCACCACCCTTGTTTGAGCTGTCGTCATCTCTCGCCTGGACCGTTGGCCGTCTCGCGGGTTTGCTCCAGTCTTACCTCTTAGACCCCGTTTCCCACATAGCAGCCAGAGTGACCTATTCAAAACAAGTGAGACGAAACGTCAGCCTTTTGGTGAAAACGCTGCAACGTTTCCTGCTAAGGTGAAATCCACACTCTCGCCTTCAGAATCCACGATTTCTGGTGGCAAAGGATGTTGACCTCGTTTGTTTATTGATTTTCCTCAAGCGCCTAAGGCAGTGTCGTGTGCATTCTAGGTGCTTCGTCTTTGTTCATGCCGTCAGCGAGTGAACTTGTGGGCCTTGGTGAGTTGCGTTGTGCCTGTTTTCATATTTCGCCTCATACTGTCCTTCCTCGCCTACCTGTTCCAGCCCCGTTGGCCTTTACTCCACTGCTCGAATTGACCCGCCTCATTTTCTTTAGGCTTTTTTTTTTTTTTTAAGAGCTGGAAAGCCCTGCCTCCAGTTATACCGCAGCTGGATCTTGGCATTTCTGATTCCACTGTACACGTCACCTGGTCTCAAAGAGGCCTTCTGTGGTCACCAAAGTAGTTACCTCTTTATCACTGTGTTATCGCTCTTTTTAAAAAGTTTAGATTTTAACCTTAAAAATAAGTGAGAAATCAAGTTCAAAAATTAAGAAAACGCACCGAGATGTATAGTGAACAATTTCTCCATCTGTGTCACTGTCTGCCAAAGCGATCGCTGTTATGTTCATGTCTTTGCCTTCCAGAGGCTCCTTATAACAGTATACGCAGATGACAACATCTGTGAAGTCCTAAGTGTTCCTAAGCTAGTCATTTTTCAAACTGGGCTCAGCCCCTTTGTTAGAGCAAGAGGATTTCAGAGGGTTTACGAGTTGGCACTGGGGCCCTTAAACCGTCTCTGTGGCCCGCACACCCCCATCCCCTCACCTCAGATAACCCTCTGAAAATGAGGCTCCGTGTGTGAACCTCTTCACATTGCCAGCCTCCCGTCCGCGGATGGCCTGCAGTCCACTCAGCCTTCATTTCCCCTCTCGTTTTCCCCCGTTGGTCTCTGAGATGAAGGTGAGTCACGTCTGCCCATGACCCTCTCTCCATCGCTCAGGAACTCTCCTTCCTTCCTCCTCTGGCTCTTGACTGCCGTCTCTCCGGCTTCAGCACAGCCCTGCCCGTGAAGTCGGCGCCCAGAAGTGTTAGCCCAATGTGTAGGAGGGTGGTGACGAGTTAGGACTGCTGAGCTCTGAGACCCGAGTGTGCATTCTGGCTGTGTGCCTTGGGCACGAGTTTTCAAACCTTAAAATGGGACGCATGTTATAGCTATATCGAGGGTTGTTTTGAAGATATAACTAAAAAGCGGATTACATTTATTTCCTGTGGCTATTGTAGCAAATTACCACAAACTTGGTGGTCAACAAGTTTTCGTACAGCAACAGAAATTTATTTTCTTAGTTCTGGAGGTCAGAAGTCAGTAATCGGTGACCCTGGCCTCAAGTCGAGGTGCCAGCAGGGCCGTGCTTGCCCCGGAGGCTCTGGGGCAGGAAGGCTCCTTGCCTCTTCTGCATTTGGGGACCGCCAGGGACTGCCAGCGTCCCTTGGCTGCATCACCCGGTCTCCTCCAGTCCCCCTCTGTGGCCGCGCTGTCTCCTGTTGTGCCTGTGCCCCTCCTACCCACCGCCTGAGGCACTTAGGGTTGCGTTCGCGCCCACCCAGGTAACCTAGGTAATTTCATTCTTAAATCCTCAGCCTTAATCACACCTGCAAAGCCCCTTTCTCCAGGTAAGGTGACACAGTTCCAGGGCGCAGGACCTCATCTTGGGGGGCCTTATTCAGACTGGTGCGTAGACTCACACACAGCACACTCAGTGCCTGGCAGATAGGGTTTATGCCTTCTGCGGGAGGGGCGGTCAAGAAAGGCTTCAGCTTCTCAGAAGGGTTTAACCATCCAGTTACCTGGGTCCCCTGGGGGCCGAGGAGTGTGAGAAGGAGTTTTTAAGCAAGACGAAGTAAGAGAAATTGGGGGTTAGACAGTATTATTTTATTTAGTACAGTGGATAAATGGGCTAGGTGTATACAGAAGGGATTTTCGTTGTCAGACTTTGGTATTTTCCTGTTCATACGTGTGTAGGAAGCCTTACCTGTTTTCGGTGTTTATGTTCATAGGGTGAACAGAGGTGGAAGGAGGCAGCGGGGGTGGGCATGGACTGCGTGTTCCGGCTGGAAGCTGGGTGATTCCCTTTTTATATCACAAGAAGTTCACGTGTGAACCGATTAGTGAATGAGAGATCACAGAGTGGAGAAAGTTTCTCCATCAAAACTCTCCTGGATGGTAGATAAGAACCGTTGTCATTTAGAATGAAAAAGAAAGTATAAGGGTGTTTAAAACAGCGAGGGTAACGTGAAGTGTCATGACTGACGTCCGTGCTTTCCTCTCCCTGTCTCTTCCAGGTCCCTTGGCATGGACCCGGGCTCCGTGGGCGGGTTAGACTTGACCGATCAGACTCCTGTTTTATTAGGGAGTACGGCCATGGCAACCAGTCTCACCAATGTCGGAAATTCATTCAGCGGTCCGCCTAATCCTTTGGTTTCTAGATCTAATAAATTTCAAAACTCTTCGGTGGAAGATGACGACGACGTTGTTTTCATCGAACCTGTACATCCTCCCCCGCCTCCTGCACCCGTGGTCACCGATCAAAGAGCCATAGTATTTGCATCGTCGAAAAACGAAGAACTGCAAGGAACCGATTCCAAAATCCTTCCTTCCTCAAAAGAACTGGCTTCTCAAAAGGGAAGCGTGAGTGAGACGATTGTCATTGATGACGAAGAGGACGTGGAAACAAATCAAGGGCAGGAAAAAAATTCCTCCAATTTTATTGACCCTCGGAGACCTCCCGAGACTAAAAACAGAACCAATGATGTGGATTTCTCCACCTCCACTCTTTCAAGAAGTAAGGTAAATGCAGGAATGGGTAGTAGCGGTATCACCACAGAACCAGACTCCGAAATTCAGATTGCTAATGTTACCACCTTAGAGACAGGCGCCAGCTCTGTGAATGATGGCCACTTAGAAAATACTGACGGGCGAGATATGAACTTAATGATTACACATGTAACGTCACTGCAGAATACCAGCTTGGGAGATGTCTCTAACGGACTGCAGTCAAGTAATTTCGGTGTTAATATGCAAACATACACCCCATCTTTAACTTCACAGACCAAGACTGGAGTAGGACCTTTTAATCCTGGTAGAGTGAATGTGGCAGGAGATGAATTTCAGAATGGAGAATCTGCCGCTCATCACAGCCCTGGTAAGCCGTGGGTGCTCGCCTACCCCGTGTACGTGCGTTTCAGCTTCGGCTGTTGCTTTTCCATCGTAGTAATTGGTGCCACCTCGGTTAGTTTATTCATGTAAGATATGTCAATTGTATTGCTGTGTAAGTTTGAAATCTTAGCTAATGAGAGCTATAAAACCATGGATAGTATTTCTCCACAATTATTAGAAAACCAATCACAGGAATTTATGTCTAAAGGATTAAAGAAGTACTCTTTATATTTCCTGCCACTAAACTCTCACAATTTAGCATCTTATTCGTCATATACTAGCTTTTCACTAATATGTGTTTAATCGTATTGTTTCAATGTGTAGAGAACAAACAAACTGCATACTTACGGAGCAATATGCTATTGTATAATAACTGTGCTTAGACTGGTTTCTACTTGCTTTGTGTTTAATTTTGACTTCTGAGTCCGACTTTTACTTACCAGCATTTCATTATATTTTTTTATATTCGAAGTTGGTAAATTTCTTGACTGTTCGAAAATTTTTTCTGTGGGCAACTTTGCTCTGGCGGCAACATGGCAGACTGGCTTTGTCACGGCCGAGCCTGCGTGTCCCTTCTGTCCCACCTGCCCCCAGCCCGTGTGTGCATCTGCCTCTGCCCTTCGTCTCCCCCACCCCGTGGGGTCCCGTCTCCTCCTCCCACCATTCAGGCCCATTAGCGACTTCCTCAGCCCGAGAATCGTGGAGAATAATAAGAAATGACTGAAACCTAGGCAGTGGAGAATGCTTGTGAAATGCCAGTCATTTTTCTTGTTTACTTATTCTTTTTTTGGTTATGAGAGTAATAGCTAATATTCAAGTATGTTCGCAAAATTCATAATTAAAGAATGAGTGGAAAGACCCCTATAGTTTTGCTGATTGAAGATTAATGCTCTGAGTGGTTTTCTTTCACTCTTTTCCCTTTGGTTTTTAACTCGATTGAAATGCAACTCTCTCATTTTGCTTCTAGTTTTTCCCCATTTATCATTACACTGTATTTTCTCATACCAGTGACATTTATACACAAAAGTTTTGAGGGCTGTGCGGGTGAGTTGGATGACCACTCCCACGTTTGCTTTTCCCATGTTTTGCTGTTGTAGGTCTAAGGTGAACATCTTTGTTTAGATTTCTGATTATTTCTTTAGCATGTATGCCTAGATGTTACGAGGCCAAAGACTATCACTGCCCGTTTCCCTAAAGGTTTTTGATTTAAAAACTATATCTGGTTTATAGTGATTTTGAAAGAAATGTGTTTATTACTTGGTTTTGAAAATTTTTCATTTTCCATATACACTGTGTGTGTTTACATACACTTTTTTTGTAGGTAGGTCAGTGTGTGTACGTATGTGTGGTGCCTGTGTGTGTGTGTGTGCGCGTGTGCAGTATGCTTGAATTTATATGAGCTTTTTTAAGTTCTAGAAATAATATTGTCATATTGCCTTCCAGAAAGTTCTTGCCAGTTTATACTACTACCAGCTGTATACTAGAATGTCTTTCATTATAACCTTCCAGCTCACATAAAAGTTTAGGAAAGGATGATGCTCACATGATTTTTAAAATGGCAATTTTGTCTTTCTCGCAACAAGTATATTAAAAACATTAGAATGTGAGAAAGGAACCAACATTCAGTCTCACCGCTGAGACGGCGCACGGATTGTGACCTGGGCTCATGGGAGGGGTGTGGTTCTGGTGGTTCTGCTGGTTCTTCACGCTCTCCCCTCACACTGCCCCTTTAGTGCCCGGCAGGGCGGTCTCGAACTTTCTACCATATCAAGCATATATGTTTGATTTTGTTAATTCTCTAGCTCGGTTCCAGTCTTTACTATTTAAGTAACTCTTAAGAATATCCTTATGCACGCATTTTGGGATACTTATTTCTTGAGGAATATTGCTGGGTCAAAGGGACGTGACAAGAACCGTGTTCCGGTTTACTCAGACACAAGGGAGTGCAGAGCAGTCCCCAGAAGACCTCAGCGGAGGTACCTGCTGCTCTTGCACTTGTCACTTAGCTCTGTGATCACGTGCCGTTCTTGCTGGACTGATTCGCCTGCCATCTTTTGATGTCTCTTGTGTAAAACAGAAGGTTTAGGTACAGTGCTTAGGTCCCTTCTGTTTCTGGAAGTCTTGGTTTTGGAGGAGGCGAACGTCGGAGAGGAGGGAAGTGTGAGACCTGGGACACGGAGAAGTTGCTGCTAGAAAGTCAAGTTAATAGATGCCCCCGAGTTTAAATAGGCCCCTTTAGGTATGTGTGCAGATGGCAGGCGCGCAGAATTGAGAGCCCCGAGCGGCCGCTCCTCCTGGAGCACGTTCCGGCGCCTTTTACCGCGGCTTCGGCGGGGCTGCCGCGCGGGTGGTGTGCGCATCCCGCCGGGAGGTGTGCGCGTCCCGC